GGGGGGGGGGGGGTTAGTAATTAATTGGCTGCGATATGTGTATTTCACTTTTTTCTAATTCGATATTTAACAAGATTTCCTTTCTATCGCTCTGTTTCTCTCTCTCTCTCCCTCCCTTCCTCCCTCCCTCCCTCCTTCCCTCTTTTTCCGAGTCGTGCGTTATTCCAATAATTTGATCCCAGAACACATTTCGATAGCTTATAAATGTACATCGTATCAATAATTTCATATAAAGATATTTATAAATTTACAGGCATCGCGTTTCACTTTTTATTTTTATTTTAATTTTGGCGTGTATATTCCATCGAATACGTAGATCGTCGTATTTCGCTGGTGCGAAAGGATGAGGACGAGTGATTTTATCGACCCTTTCCTGAAACGTTCGAACTTGTAACCAAAGCGAATTAATTCCATCTGAGACAGTTTAATTTGCAACGCAGCTATGGCGTACGAAGTGCCACCGAAACACAGGACGTAGGGAGCAATGTAACATAAATAATCGCGTTATATATAAAGAGAATATATTAAGCGTATATAGTTTAGCTGGACATGCTATCCCGGATATTTCAGAAGCAATGGAACATCGTGTAAACGTACTCGCAGACACGCGATTATTGCGCATCTCGATTATCCCGTAATATGAGAAATTAATAGTTCTTTCGAATGTCGAATATGTCGTATATCGTTACGCGTGTTACGCGTCCGTTATAATAATAAAGATATTTTAATCAATCAACTTTGGAAATAACACGAGTCAGTTTTTAAAGTGCGATAAATTTCAACAACGAGTACGACTATCTTTGGATTTCCGTATTTTTTTCACTAGATGTCCGAAATTTTAGTCATATCATTTTCGAAATAAAGGACTAAACTTTTTGAATTTTCAGAATATATTCATTTAATCGGTGATTGTTATTAAACGAAAGAAAATGTTTTTCGAGAAAATAACAAATATTTTTCCCAACTTTTTTAATTTGTCGTGCCTTTCAGTTTAGTACGTACCTTGTAAGAAACAATCTCACGGTTCCCAACTTTTCTCGATGAGCATGCCAACTATGTTCGTAAATGTTTGTTAACAAATTACACAAAATCTTAACTATTACTCGTTAAATTCATTTTAGACGAGAATCGTAATTCTATAAATTTGTTATGGCAACGTGCGTCTCGTAAATATTGAATTTAACGAGTTTTAGTGCGAGTTTCTATCGAGTTATCTCGCTTACAAAATGTATCTTATCATTGCATCTTCCCGAGAAGGCTAAAATATTTAGATTTCTATTAAATATATTAACGAAAGGATGAACGGGAAAGGGTTAAAGCAGTTCCTCGTTATCGTCCGGAGCACCATACATTTGGGGCCTTTTATCCAAAAGCCGCTGCTGTTGCTGCTGCTGCTGAACCTGTTGTTGTTGCGGCTTTTGCAGAAGCGCGATACTAGCGGCTTTATAATTAATCGGCCCGTACGATTTGTAGTCCACGTCCGCGTAATCGAGATCCGAGAATTCCGGCTTGAAGGGCTGCGTAAACAGAAAAACGTGACGAATATCTCGGTCACGAGGTTGATTTGTATCCCAGACAATGCAAGCGTTTAAAAGACGTCCTAATTTTGAGATATTCTTTAGTCACATCCGTAGTCTTATTGTTAAATTGTCAATTAACGACATTAGCTTGAAATAGAATTAAACGTATTTCAGTCAGAAAACATTGTCGTCGTGTCAAATTGTCACTGCGACATTTTCAGATTAGAATCTCGATGTTTCAATGATTATCGAAGTATACACGTACAATCAATTCTCTATTTATACTGAATTCAACAGAGTTTAGATTATGCTGGATCGGCAAAGTGCTAAGACGTCTCTCGCACCTTTGTATTGTTTGGGCTCTAATCGTGCCGCGCGGACGATTAGGCACACAATAGTTCTATGGTGGACAATTCGGGAAGTTTCGTAACAGACCTGCTGTACAAGCGATCGAAGCAAATGATCTGGTGTACCATTCCGGGTGCTAAAGCTTTCTCGTTCATGATCGATGTCTGTCAGTTAGACAACGACGTGTCAGATGAGGACACGAGATTTAATTAAACAAACGGACAGGGGTTTAATCGAAGGGCAGCGAATTACAAGAGTGAGCTATCTATTAAATCGACCGGTCGATAATCTGCTTATAATTCTCAGCTTTTCAATTGTTAACATTAAGTGTAGCTGTGATGAGTGTTATCATGCTGCACGCTGGGCATTCCATAAACTTCGAACTGGCATGCGTGGTTCAGAATTGAGAGGATTGTCATTCCAGCTATTATGCTCGACACGATGCTATCTACCGTGTTTGAAGCCCTTATTGTTGTACGTGGCAAGAGCCACGACGGTAGCGGACTATAGTGTAATCGGTATCTGATAAAGTAATTTATACATCGATGAGAGAAATGGACACCTTTTTTCCGCGACGAGTTTTGCGATATCATGCGACATGTAGCAGCTCGCGATTTAAATATATTTGAAAATGGTTTAATAATTTTTAACGTTCTTTTATCTGAAGCGACTGTCTCTCTCTTCAGAGAGTAAAATATCAATTGGACATATCGGACTGATGAGGAAGTGTGCTGATAGCGGGTATTTATGTGTTCTTTTCTTTTATACGGAATATTTACAAGCGGCAAGTGAGAGTTAAAATCGACGCTTAGAGAAATAATCGCGACGTACTTCGAGAAAATCAATGCTGTTGTGTCTCTACGGGTAAAGTGAGTTATGCATCCCCTGCACGAATGAACATTCTGTATTCGTAGTATCTCGATTTACGTTATGCGTGTAAGCAGTGTGACATACTCCGTACAATGTACCTACAGGGCCTGTCGGACGCCAAATTGTCCTAGTAAATGTACGTATCGCTCTTTGTCAGCTGACCCTCCTACGAACAAACATTGAGATACAATTGGTATGATAGGCATGCAATAATTCTTTCTTGTCGTTCAATTGCACTTCTTACGTCAGCTGCCGCACGCGGGCAGGGTATATTCGAGAGAGAAGAAGGAGATACAGAGACATGCAAGATAATATAGCGAAAACGAAATCGTACCGACGCGATTCGACACTGATACGGTCGGAGAAGAACGATACGAAAATATTGGCGGTTTGAAAGAGTCCAAAGAGGATATAAATAATTTTTACGAAGGGTCGGTAAGGCGAAGTCGCTGTAAGATAAGATATAATACTACAAATCGTCAATGCCGTTCCGTATTCTATCTACTTTTCCGGATGATGGTCAGTCTCTACTGTATCGTACCTTGTGGTGTATATATACGCTATTTTTATTATAAAAAATTTACGACCACTATCGATCCGATATTACCTATAAAAGTCTGCGGTTTATCCCGATAGCTGGTAACAGTAACGAAATAAGACGGAGCAAACCGCACCAGGCTTATCTATATGTTATTGCGTGCCCGTGCATACCGGGTATCTTGAAAAATTCGATGCTCGACAAATCCGACAGAGGATACCAATTTGCTGTTACTACTCGAGTCCGGTTTGCGACACCCTGTATGCTTCGTGCTGAGCTATACGTATCAAATTGGATAGTCTGCTCGCTATCGGCCACATATGCGTGGTCTCACATCTGCTATTGTGGGTTGCATTGTCCGTCTTATCAATTTTCTGCAGCAGGGATGCTCAAACTGACGAGTTATCGATTTTTGCCTTTCGCATCTACCTGTTCTTTTTTTTTTCAACGTTCGGCGGAACTGCGACAACTTTTGCAGATACGCACGCAATATTGTTTCCTTTCGTAAATCGAATGTTTTGAATTGAATTTTAAATATTGAAAATATTCAATCCGTGTCATCGACTGACGACATGGCGGCCAGTCTGTCCGCGTGTCGCATGCTGTAATGTTTTACGTCGCTCGACATTACGATTTTTTCCTCTCATAAAGTTTTATTGCGATATTGATTTACAGCGTGCGGTTTATCAAAGAGAAATCGCTGGAACCGTGTTAAAATAAAAAAAAAAAAAAAAAAGCAGTACCGGGTAAAAATTTTTATATGCAACGTTATCGATGATTTTATTTTTGGAACATCGAATCACGTTATGCGTGTCATCAAAGAGCGCGACGTTTTCTAGGATGAAGCATTCCGATAATATTATGATGGCGATACTGTGTAATATCAGTTATCGATGGTGAGTTATTGCGAGTATACAAAATTACGTTGCGCAGAATACTCAACCTCTGTGCATAATATCGGATTTGTTTCCTCACGAGCTTATTAAGCGCGAGTATTAATATGCCGTGCATAATCGAGTAAAATTATTAGTTCGATCCCAAGAAGAAAAAATACGAAAGATCTTATGAGTGCGAACAAATGCAAAAGCGATGCAAAAGCTGAAGACCACACGAGACAAGAATTCAAGACACGCCAGAGACCAGTGAGAGTTTAGAATAAAAAGAGACACGCGAAGATATTTGATCGTAATTAGCAAAACAGAAAAGGATAAGAAGAAAACCTTAATTGGCCCTACCTTTTCAATACGACGTACGTAGAGAACATCTTAAAGAATGTGCTCGGGCACGCGCGGGTGTTACCTCTAAGACGTAGTACGTAGCGGGCCTAACAAATAGCCATGGCATTCTTCGAAAAAATGCGATCACCCGCGCGAGCTGCGATCGCCATGCCGCGTTCCTCCGAGGAACGTCCGTAGTGCTGCACCAGGATTCGGGCCACTAACCTTTAGACATCGATCTCCTGACCGACATCCCGGAAGTGAAGCTCCGCGTACTGCATTATCGTGGGCGCGGACGGCGATCGGGCGTCGGCGAGACCTGTCGAGAGCCTCTTCGACGTTTTGTTGCGATTTTTCGCGTCGCCCGCGTCCGTCGATTGCGTGTTGTTGCAGATGCAGCGATTCGACTGGCGCTCCCACGACTGCTGCTGCTGCTGTTGCGGCTGCTGCTGCGGCGGTGGCTGCTGCAGTGGCTGCTGCAGCTGTTGCTGCTGCTGCTGCTGCTGCTGTTGTTGACGCGCCGCCGAGTTCGGTCTGTGATAGTCGGTTGGACACTCCGCGATGTCGTCTTCGTAGTAGTGCGGATACGAAATCTCGTACGTTTCCGGCACACCCAGATCCGGGATCTGGTGGAAACTGGTTTCACAGGCGGGCGAGCCGACGAAGGCGTCGGTACGTCGCGCGTCCCCTCTTCGGCTCGACTTCGACTTGCGATCGCCGGACGTTCGTTCGTGCTTCCGGTACTTCCGGTTACGTTCGTTACGACGATTCGTCGTGTGCCGACGTGACGACTGTCTCGCGTCGTGATTGCCGTAACTCGGCTGTTGCTGCTCCTCATCCCGATGCACCGCGGGCAGGTGGTTCTCGCTGGCCTCGTGGTGCATCAGGGTGGACGGCCGGCTGTTGTTAGTGTGGGCGAAAGAGGTCTGCAGGGGACTAACTATCGAGGAATGGTAGAGGCTGCGCGTTAGTGGCAGTGTTAGTTGGTTCGAACTGTTGCTCGGTAAGGGGTAGCTGTACTGCTGTATCTCCTGCCGATGCTGCTGCTGGTAGTGTTCTTTGTAGTTGTATAGGCTGTCGGTCTGCAACAGGCACGGTTAGTAGTTGGGACCAGGCGATGGGGCGCGAGTAGTTAACGCGACGTACTGTGTGTGCGTGAGTCAAGTGGACGACTGAGACATTACTTCGATTCTCCGTGTTTAGGAGCCTGTACGAGTGCGGTTACATCGCATTCCGGAGTGCGAGATGTGGATATATCGGGATGTTGCTTGGTGTAACATTGGTGTGTATTTCGTTGCAAAAGTGCTCCATCAATTGGTTGGAACGGGTTGTACGCCGGAGATGCGATGTGCAAACACGAATACGGTTCATTGACTCACATGCATTTCATGTTATCTATTGTTGAAACGGCGGATAGCGCAGAAAGAGCGTTTCACAGCTTCGTCATGCCGTGTAATTCTGAGTTGCACGTGTGCGTGTGTATGTGATGTGCGCGCGCGCGCCTAAAGTACCATCGATCTACGACAAATATTGCCGGGCTGTTCGTGCAACGATTTTCCGATGACCCGTGGGGACGATTGCCTCGACTTGATTCACCATTAATTTCCTGTTTATTTGACTTAATTTACCGTTAATTTACCGATACACACGCAGAATATATCTTCAAACGTAGTTACCTCGACAGCTTTCATATTTAAGATGTGTTCTGTGAAAGATTTACGGACTATTAGTCGCGCGATGGATATTTTGAATATTCATACATCCTCTTTGCACGGCTTCAAAGAATCCTCGTTGACGACGTTTATCGATATACTGATACCTGAAATGGCGAATTGGAGAGGAACGATGTAAATGTTTGTCCTACAGATCGATAAGTCGAGGAAAATACTCCTCTCGTAAATTCGCACAATGTACATCCCTGTCGTACATAAAAATGAGAAAGTAAGTAGATTACGAGAGTATTATGTTGAACTATTGCAAGAACGCTCGAAGTAATATCCCAGATCTGTCCGTGTTCGAAACAATCGAGAGCTCGAGTCATTGGTTAAGCGTGTGTGACAGTGGAAACGAACTTACTTGACGCGCGGCCAACATGCACAAGGGCGGTCGCTACATAGATGCCCGGATCCAGCTTAGCAGGGAAAATATGATTTCCGATTATAACTCGGCTTCCAGCAACTCTACCTCCTACTTGTTCGAAGCTGCTGTTTTATATCTATTACGGACACGTAAATCGTACTCATGCAGTAGGCGCGATGCTAATGTTACTCGGTGCTTAAAGGGAACGGATTTGACTTCTCGCTCGTAGGACGTTGCCGCGAGTTCATCGATCGCGTGCCCGCGACTGGCTATGAATCGAGTTCGATCGAGGAAGTTATAAAAGAGATCGTGTTCTTGATCGCGAGAACACTTGCGAAATGCCATAATAATGCTCGTAATGTCTCGCAGCGACCGATCATCAGTCTTCCTTCGAGGAAATTAAATTATATTGTCTGATCGAAGTGACATATACGTTGGTAAATCACTTTATCACGGACTAGCTTGGTTACGCAACTGAGGCAAATTAAAATTGCTAAACGGGATATTGTATGTGAAAAGAAGTGATTATACGCTATGTGCGAGGTGTCTACAAGCTTTGTACAATAGTTTTGACGTGAAATTACTCGTACAGCTTACTGAAATTATAACAAATCATCTTGTGCGTACGTGATGACAGCGAAAAGAATTTTACTTTGAAACACCACCAGGAAATGAGTTAATTTAGATGAAATAACGCTCTTTGAAGGTTAATTACAAATTAACTACTCACACATAGCTTCTTCCGATGTAACTTTTGCATTACGTAATTATATACCGGTCTGTTGCTGAATTTTGTTACAGGTTCTGCTTTATCAATTAATAAACGCAATTCATTGTGTTGTGTGACCGTTTTAATGAGTTGCTTTGTATTATTGTTTGAAATTTCATCAATTTAGATATTAATAACGAGTATTCAATCAAATATTTTTTTCTTATTATGCAACTGAAGGGTTTCCTTTTCTTTTGTTTAAAAACATTGTTAATGTAATACGAAGAAAAGTATTACGTTACATTTAATAACTAAAGAAAATTTATGAAAAAATACTGAAATACTGATTTAATAATAGTAACCTACCGAGAGATGACCTGATGATATTATAAAGACTTGTTCAAAAAAAATTGCATTTATTGTTTTTTTCTCAACGCGTTCTAATTTCATTTAAGACATAACTAATCAAGTTATGGTTTCTGCACACGTCGGCGAAGATTTATTCAATCGTTCTCATTCTTGCAGTTCGCGAGAATTTTTACATAACATCGATACTTTATGACTTTAGAGCGTCACGTTTCAGTCGAAGTACTTGACGAAATGCAATATTGAAAGAATCTTATCGAGCTAACTAAAGCTTCTAGACATATTGAAAAAGCACGTCTTTCATGCACTTACATTTTTAAGCATTTTCTGCTCAATTCTATCGACTGCACGTTGATACGTTTTTTTTTACTAAACACGTTGGATCGTAGATGTATAAATTTGGAAGAAAGTACCCATTCAAGTAACGCTCGACAACGCAAAATTCTAACTTGTTTCGGCAATATCTGTCCGTGCTCATTGTCATGGCCTAAAGATCACAATAATAACTGCGAATAAGCTCGATATTGAGATCAGTGAAGGATCACTCGACAGTATGAGCCAATGGCGGCGAGATCGATCGAAAGCCATCCGAGAAGTTCGCTCGTGACAACGTTCGCGGGCGTAATCAGATGCGGGGTCTTCCTATCATAGATTATCAGTAGTCGACAAACCTTAAGCTTAGGCAACGAAGCGTCTTTCGGCGGAAAAACGGGGGGAGGGACGTTTTGGTAGGTGTGTTTGGACGGGTCGGTTTTTCTAGGCGTCCTCGGCGCTGGTATCGGCGGCGTCGGTGACGGTATCGGCGTCGCCGGCGCCGATCTGGTGAGGCTCACCGACGCCGACTGGCTCAGGGTCAACGACGGCGCGTCCTCCATCGATCTGACGATCGTCGCGATCGTGGTAGTGCTGTCGCTCTTATGCGGACACGTCTTATAGATCGGTATCGCGTACAGCTCGTACTTCCTGCGGATGTTTTCGTGCCGACGGCACAGCCGTAACGAGTAGAATTGCTGCGAGTGTTTTTGCTTGCGCCGTCGCGGCTTCAGGGTGTTGTACTTCAGCACCGGCGAATTGCTCCTGGGCACGTTATAGATGTTGTAGTGGGGTCCTAGGTGACTCCTAGTCGATTCGTAGCCGGAACTGCCGTCGCAGAGACTGATAGCTCTGCTGGGTGGCCGCGAGGAACACGGCGAGGTCGTGACGGAATGATGCAACGTGCCATGCAAAGCCGAAACTTGGGCAAACTTAGGAGTAACCAACTAAAACAAAATGCAGCCAGCGGCCATTCGCATACACACACGTCTTGTGAGCCTATGGTCGATTTGGTGCTGAATAACGTTCGATTATTGCGCGCCGCTAACGACCACGGCCGTACACCCGAGGGTAATGACGTTTCGGCGATTTCGATCACTCAATTAACGAGACGCTGAAGTCGGCTTCGTACGGCAGATTGGCCGGAACGGCACTTCCTCGCCGTAGGACATAAGGAGGCAATTTATGTCAATTTCTGAGTTGCTATTGGCATTTGAACGAGAACCACTGATATAGTTACGTCGCTTATGACGGTTAGGAGGAAGTTATCCTAACGTTGCTCACAGCGCTTGGTAACGTGAACGCGTTCGTGGTTTTAATAATATTACGTACATATGTGTAACGAGATAAATATCGATTGACCGACATTGTATGTGGTGAACTGGCAACGAAGAATTAGATGTGAAAAGATCATAAATAAATAAATAAATATAATCTTTGATAATTGTCTCGAATCTTTTTGTTTTATGCGGAAAAAAGTTATATATTACATTACTTTACATTAGTAGTTTTATCAAACCATTGAGTAGAAAGATAAGACTGTTTCTATCTTAATGATTTACTTCGGTAACAATTCAGAATCGGAATTCCGCCTGACATTATTGATGAGAGCACCGGAGGTGAAACAAACGATCGGACATTTTTCAGCACGATTTTTCGAGATAATTACCGCGTTAATTGAAATATAGCGAGACAGTGGCCTGGAAAATAGCGCGTATCGAGAGTATTGACGATGCGTTAGGACAATCATCCGTTGAGCATTAGCCCTAATTATCGAGTGCCTCGTGTTAGCATCCGTGCTTATTGCCTCTCATCGAATTGATTGATTCGGATTGCGCGCGGATTGTGAATACTAGCGAATTAGGTAAACCGATTCGGCTTATTCAGTCGATGAGCTTGCCAAAATGAGCTTTGCGTCTGTAAATGTTTGCGATATCAGACAGGAGATGTAACTTGTTAAATGATGTCAGGTCGTCGCTGTGATTAAAATTTGCAAGTAATATGTTTCACTCGCAAACAACGCGATCAACAACTTATATGTCGAGTATCTGCAAAAGCAATAGATTAGTGATCAAGCACGTAACTATGTCAGTGTAAATCTAGCCTCTAATATTCTGTATCTCAAAAAGGCGGAGGATTTACAATGCATCATACATTACTCCTCTAAGCCATAAAAATTGATTAAAGGCGATAGCCACTCTTATCGCGCGCCAAATATCTATATAATTCAAAAGTTCTACAACAGCATGTTACCGTACTACTATATAATAAGTAATTACTGCTGCAGTTGCCATTTATATGGGACATTTTAGAATTAAAGATCCAGCTTAATAGAACTCACAGAACTTAAAAAACAAACAGATAACTCTTAATAAACATAGGTTTAAACTAATTTAAAGTATTCAGCTTTTTACTTTGCAAGTCCTTCGTACCATTATTGTAACATATATTGTGGAATGACTGACATTTTGGGGAATTCTTGGAAAACTTTGACATTTTAATCTTGTTTACATTTCTTAATAGTAGCATTTTTTTAGATTCATTTATTGCTTATTCCAAGTAGTTTCATCATCAAACGATTGTACTCATTGTTTTGTATCGTTTCCATGGTTTACAGTAACTCGTTTTGTTGCTCCTCGAATCCTTCTGTTAGTTAGCAATAAGTTCGCACACATACTTTAATGTGGAAATGATGGATGCGTATTTTATTGTATAAACGCATAAAGAACGATTTTGCAGAAAAATACGTCGTGTAAGGAATTTCCTTCCAAATTAATACTGAAATTTTAATTCTGTCACGAGGTTTAACTGCAGTAAAGAAATGTGTGCCGAAAAGTCAGTTTTGGTTTTTCTCTCTCTCTCTTTTCTCTTTCTCATGTCTCTGCGTCAATTCGTTCATGAGTAAGCTACCCTTTAAAGTTTCGATAGATGCTCGGCATTAGCGATCGCTGGCTCTCTACTTGCTATAGCGTGGTCTAGAATGAGTGAATCGCCGTGTTATGTGTGTATGTGTTTGTATGAGTGTATGTGTGTGTGTCGAACGGCCTCGTGCTTCTACTGTATCGCAGTATTGCACTCTAATGTATCGCAGCCCTGGAATGGGGATACGACCGCGTACTTACAATCAGTTTGCGAATCTATATTTATTTAAAGTTTTGTTTGATTTTAGGAGTTCTATTAGCTAGTTAAATAATTCTGAAATGCACTGGGTACGGTAGAGGAATGTATGTTTTAGAGAAACTTTTAATTGCCTTAAACGAATTTAACATGTTTGTTATCACGGTTTGTTTGAGGAATTCTTTTCACAGATTACATTGTATTTATTTTCACGTAAACAGATTTGGAGTTTGTTTATATACGTTTATATACATATATATAAAAAAATATCGTTGTCATATACATGTTTAGTAATTGAAATCGAAGATTTCGAGTAAAGAAAAACTTGAAGTAAGAGATCGATGCGCCACATATATGTGACGCTGTGTGAATGAGGTAGGTGTTAATATTTCTTCGTTAAATCTGTACGAATAGCCGACTGAGCGTACACGCCAGATTAATTAATCTTTCTTATTATTTCGGAGTAGGCGATAGAATACGAGCCAATCGATCTTTCGGCTTCGTTCACCTGATATCGAATTGCGATAACGTGGCGAATCTCATCGGATTCTCAAATTAAGAATGTAGGCGATGTCGGCTCTACTTTCTATCGGACGCGTGACACGAACAAACGGTTCGTACGTTAATCAGCACAAAACCGAACCGATCGATTTCGATCTAGATAACATTTCAGAAAAACGTTCGTGTAGTAATATAGAGTTATTTCACCGTAAGACACACGAGTTATTAGAAACTTCCTGCGACAATAGGTCTTATTTCAATTAACGCTAGCACACGATCATAGAAAAAAAAGAAAGAAGCGAGCGATGAATACGTTTTCATCAAAATGCACTCGCACAGCATTAAATTACCTGTCCACCACGGTGTTCATTTTTTCCATTATTGATCGGGCTACGAGACTTAGTTAATAAAAAGTATCCGGAAGTTTGTAAAAAAATATATAATTAAATATCAAAGGCAGAGCGTAAGGAGTTAATAGCACAGCCACTTACTTACTTACTAAGAGCTAATACAATTTCGTTTACTTCTTGTTGGCAAATTATCCCCGCAATTTTATCAAACGCAATTTTATCAAACAATTTATCGGTATTGCAATTATCTGTAAGACACAATTAGTGGGGACGTCATAACGCACGACACACGATTGTGATGCGAAATTGCGTAGCAAGCAACAGATGCCGGTATATAGCGCATAATTACTTTCGAGCGATTAATAAACGTTGAAAGTCAGAGAAAAAATATCATAAACATGCGATTGTCAATATGACACATTTGAGAATATCATGTGTTAATTTTAATGAAAATTTTGTCTGGTTTTGACCAACAGTTTTATTCGTTGCGTGCGGAGTGCTATTACGAAGTTTCACGTGATTGATAATTGAAACGCTTCGACGACGTACCGGGACGGATTGATGTTTCATTTGGCATGCTGCTTTAGCAACATCGGTTTTATACGATTATTGCCAAGAGTGACACTATTCTCAGCCTTGTGATTAAATTGCTAAGCGGCGATTTGTGTATTTAGCACTGTCGGTGCAAAAACAATGAACGGCAAATTGTCAGTTGATATGTGTGATTATTTTTGATAAATTTCGGGATCAAGTAAGCGAGTTGCAATGTAAAACTTTCTGCAACATGTAGAAGTGCTAAGCCACATGAATACAAAGTATTGTTTTATATCGTAGAAAATTGTTTTCGGGATAAGGCGATATCGATTCGACCGCATTAGCATCAAGACAGATCGGAGCACAAAAGGGTCCGTTCATTCAGTCGAACTGACTGCCATGAAGTAGAACATCCTTTGTAGAATACTCGACAATTCAAGAGGACGATATATTTACTCGCTCCGGAGAACCATGCGATGGAATTGCCTTAGACGATAGAATTTGCATCATAAAGATCTATAAGATATAATCGAATGCGTTTCTAAGGCAGCAGTCGCTTTGTTATGAAAACCCATGTATTGCAACGAGTGTTCCGATACGCAAAGGAAAAACCCGCTTTCTCGCGGGGTTCATACGCAAAAGGCTTTCCTCTGGGATACACGCTAAGAATACATTCCGGCGTTCCAATTATCGAGATTTCTCTCCGCGTGCTGCTTCTCGCACGCGTAATTTGGAGATAGCTCGACGTGAAATCTGTTATCCCGGAAGATTTCACGGCTCTTCCGGCACGTACAAGACACACCCCTTAGCTCCGGCTTTAATCACTTAAACGCAAGCGGGAAAGGCAGCCGGTTGTGAAATGGAGAAATTAATTATTTAAACGTCTGCTCAGCGAATCAATTAACCGCGATTACATACGGTATAATGAGACGGATGGGCGCGCTTGTGAAAAGGGCCGAAAAGCGACGAGAGAGGGAGATGACGAACACACCCGTGCAGTAATTCGATAGAGTCGACGAATATCGTGAGTATCGGTCCTCTTAATTGCGAGACTGCGATACGGAAAGTCACTGTGAAGTAAACGCCATTATAAGGGTTGAAAGGGGCTTCGTGGAGCTTGGTCTCCTACAAAGTGAAGCACGAGCAATAGCCGAGAACCATATGTCGAAGTAGCGAGGTACTCCTGAGTGCTGAGGGTCTTCGAACGGAGGGGTTGAACGGAGAAGGGTCGCACTAATATCTATCCTCTTGGCCTTTCACCGCATTTCACTCGCTATCACCTCTTGAGCGTATTTGGTGAGGAGAGAAGACGCCGTTAATCGACGAGCTGTTCACGAAACTCGCTGCTAACTGTTGGAAATGCACCGAAAGGATATCGGTGTCCACTTAGGTCGATCTTGCTCGATGTATTACTCTCGAATCGTATCACCTTTCCGGTATAAGACGGATTTTTAGCAAGTTGGGGAATTGAATAAGATGCTTACGTACCGAACGTCTGGCACATGTGTGCCATTCCAAATATTATCTGAGACTCTCAGTTGAGAATCTGATATTGCAAATCACCGTTACGAAATTGATCTTTCGTGACTGACACATTTGCCATCATTACTTTCTTCTCGGTAATCACGCTAATATGCAAGTTGCAAGTTGAGTCTAGCTCATGCTGTCTCTGACAAAACGCTGCTATTTCTCACGCAATGATCGTTATGCTAACCTTGTTAGGTGGCGCTTGGATCCCGTGGAAGGGTAAATTCTCGTAGAACGTCTTTGTCCCGGACTCGGGAAGACCTTCCGACACGCTGTTCACATGATTGTTATTCGCAGCTTGATTGGGATCTGCAATTGCAAAAAGGGAGTGACGTTAGAAAAGTTGTAACGTAAAATGTTAATAACGGCGCTAGAGAGTCGACACATTTTACGATCGACCAATACATTCCGACTTAATCCAATATAACGACGAGCTATATTAGTATAAAAGATAGAACAGTGTGAAAAGAGACAGTCATAAAGCCCGAGTCGCGGGACAGAATTACGAGTTGGAATCCATGATGAGATCGCGAGAAAAAAGTACTTTATGCGATACCGCGATCAAACGCGATTTGTCTCGTATCAGAATACTGAATGTTCGGGTCCCGCGATTTGATTCTGGATTCTACGACTCGTATTTTTCGTCTCTTGTCCGATTCGTGCTTTACGACTCTCGCTGTGAGCGTGGTGTTCATTCGACACACAGCAGAATAATGTCGTGTCGCGTTTATCACTGACGTTTGTCATTGTTTATTCATAGTTTTACCAACGAGATTCCCTCGATAAGGAACGTTAAAATCGTCGACGAATAGAACGATAGAGAATTATGACAAAGTGAAGAAGGACGAGGAGACAGTAATATCGCAATGAGTGTTGCGGGAGGAGTGCGCGGAGCTATAGCTATGATATAAATCAGAGAATGAATAATATTCATGATTAATAGTTGCTGCGATAAGTGAAATTTATGTGATGGGTTGCTGTGTGTACTTTCCATTTACGTGTAAACTATTAATTCTTGCGTGCCGCGCATGTGTGGCCACACCTATAACTAAATAATCCTCTACTTCGCACTCTAATGATCGTTACTTTTGCACGCGTGTCGCCTGTGTGCGCACATTTATACGTATCTCTCTCTGTGTGTGTTAATGTAATATATATGTGTATATTCGGTTCAAAGATGAATATGTATTCGCGTTTAAAGGTTAAACAACAATGATAAACAATACATAAGTTTGAAAGATAAGCCTGCCAACTTCGGGGAGGATTCTAAGCATACGCGCGAGCGTGCGCGTTATAAAAATAATTTGTACGTACCTGCTCCGGGACGTTTTCGCTTACGAGACACATTGCCGTGATGCAGCTCGCGAGATGATTCCACGGTGTGCAATATCTGCTGACGCGGCACGATTCTCTTATAAGTCACGGCTAAGAAACACACAATCAACAACGAGCAATGTCACAGACACATAAAGCTTCTCTCATGCGGTAGCTTAATCAAACATAAACAAATCGGCGCGAATGTTAGAAAATATAAGAACAGTGTTGCGTCTTACGTTTTGAGATTGCGTATCGTCAACGAGTGTTCGGCATCTTTCTTGTGTCAGAGCATATAGAAATGTTTGCTTTTATGATTTTAAAATATAACTTTTCTTTGCTTTTTTTAGATTTCTTCCATTTTGCTTGAAAGATATGAAAAATATTTTACGGATTGTAAGACGTGAATACACATATGGAGAAGCGAGAGATTAAGAAAATTTTATTTATTATACAACAACTTTGACGATACACGCACGTCCTTATTTACAAGGACGCATCTCTCTTAAACAAAAGAAAGAAAATTCAGTCGAAATCTCGACTTCGAGGAATCTTGTTTTTTAATTGATTAAGTAACGATAAAGCTCTTAAATAAGCATTGTTCAAGGTACAGCAGGATCGAGCATTCGCCGAAACACGAAGTTTCCGCCGGTAGCGGCGTGGAAAAGTTAGAGGGTTAATTACGCGCCGCGTACACAGCTGTATGCTTAATGGGGTTTCAAAGTCGTCTGCGACGACGTATACGGAACAAGCGCGCCGGATACTTTCCAATAACACGGTAATGTTCTCGCTAGCGGTGTGGAAACGCGTAAGAAATGAGAAAAAAGAGAGAAAGTAGAAAAGTCGCCGATGACAATAGATAAAACAATAAGATCCGTTATTACCTGCGATGAGGGTCGGAAAGAAACTGCGGGAAGGGTAACGTAACGCGGTACGGATTCCACGAAATGATGACGCCGTAAAATCAATACTCTTAAGTATCGATGAGATAACTAGATAACTAGATAATACCGATCATATTGTGTTCTTTGAGGATACAATAATAGAGTCGAGATACGTTACTGCAGACTCGCAGTGCCGATAATGCAATCGTCTGAGGGCTCAAGACGCATGTCAAGTGTGTCGTTATTATTTTAGAGAAAAAGCCGACGCGCGAGATCGCAATTGCGTCGCAGTGCTATATCTTACGAACGCAGAGAAGATCGGAGGTACATTTGACGTACTATCGACACGGAGGAGCCGTTTGTTCAACCCATTTGCATCCACAAATATTTGCATCCCCCGTACCATTGGTACGCGACCGCTATATCTAGCTCATATCGCCGTGAGCGTGTCGTATGTCAAACGCGTGAATAATTTCGCGGCGATATTAAAGATACTTGTGTTGAAATATTTTGTCTCACGGTCGAGAGTGCCGAAATTCCGCGGGAGGACAATGGCGCGCCGGTGTGCCAGTCGACATGAAGCAGGAGCGGTCGCGATTGCGAATGTAAATGCGGGTTAACGTCAGAGTTCGTAGTTTGCTACGTCGCGAATAAACAGCTCGGCACGGCGACTCTTCGTACGACTTACCTGTCTTTTCTCTAGATATACCGGGCAGAGTGGCCTGCTCTTTGAGCTGTACGCCAAACATGGCTTTTATTTTGTTGGCCCGAGCGAGCATACTCTCCTCGTGCAGACCGGTAATGCTCGTGGCTCGTTGCGTTGCGTGTTCTTTCCTGCGACGAAATACGCGCGCTGGGTTCCGTCCGATTGACGACAACGAAGTCTCGTCGAGGAACCTCTGCCTCAGTGGCTCGTCGTTATGTTTGGCCATTAGCTCGTTACGCAGACCCTCGTTTGCGCGAACGCTCAGGCCGGATCGTAGGCTGTGGGTCCGATTGATGTGCACCAGCACGCCCGGCTTCAAGGGCCACCTCGGCGCGGGCGTCGGATGCACCGGGCTTTGCACCGAGTGCGAGGATACCGTCGGACTGGGTGGTCCACCGTCTGGACTGTATAACGATCGGGGTCACATGGGCTAATTGAGCCGGTCGGCTAAATGGGACAACCCAGTGACTTTTCTAGCAAAGTTAGATTGGATGGTGGATATGTGAGATTACTGATTTGAATTGTTAGATTTATTATTAGAATTTGAGCCAAATCAGAGGTTTCAAAATAGACACAGTGTGCGTATCATTGGGTTGTTCCATTTATCCGAGAATTTCAGTTACCCCATTCGAACCCAGTTGTGGCCCCAAGTTGACCGCTGCGCGTGCGAGAGAGGCGAAAGATCGAGCGAGCGAACGAGCGAGAGAGAGAGAGAGAGAGAGAGAGAGAGAGAGGGAGAGAAAGAGAGAGCGAACGGAAAGATGAATCAATTGCAGGATGGTCAAGCGTTCTGTATTTGGCAGCGCTCTTTTAACCATTTTTGAAAACAAAAAATACTACTCTAAGTTTTAAAATGCCAGAAAAATTTTGATAAATAAACCCATATTTTTCGGGAAAAAAAATCACTCATCCGCACACAAAACGTGACATTTCTTTTAAGTTTCCTGGTTATGTTTCATTTTTACAGAACAATGATGTGTTTTTACATTTAGCTATCGTGTATATATATATATATATATATATATATATATATATATATATATATATATATATGTATGTGTATATGTGTTTGGAATTATATTACCTAAATCGAAAAAAGTATATTGCGTGCTGTGTCGTGTCTCTGGAGGGATCAGTATCTAAAGACGGAAATAAATCTCGGTGAGGGTATCCGCCGTATCCGCGATATTTCTACAAGCACGTTTGTCTTTCTCCCCCGCTCTCTCGAAATAACGATACTACGCCACCGATAAGGTGGAAGCTTGATCGATACAGAGGATCCCGCGTGGTCGAATTAATTTTTCGCTTGGAGCGAGTTATCGTGATTGAACGATAAGCTTCATTTGCTTTGTGAGCCCGGATTATAATACGGCATACAAAAATGCATGAGCCTAAGAAGTTTGCTCGTCCTACGTTTTATTGCGCAATTTAGATGTAATGAGCGCGCAGTATAATTGGCATGACGACTAAGCAAGTCGGACGTACTAATTGTACTGCAGAATAGCGCAGCGTTACAACGCTGTGCGTCTTAATCCGATAGAGATATAAATTCTCTCAAATAAGTCAGGATAATCTCGGAAATAAATTTCGCGAATGAGAGACTAGAAGAAGCCAGCCCGCTAGGGTCGATCAGCGCTGAACTTTGCGCGAATCTATGAGAGCGACGTGGAAATTCACGCGATGATAAAAAGGATACACGAGTACCCTTCCGGGAGAATTCCGCGCGGAAGCGACTGTATACTTAACTGTCATATTCTTTATACGATGGGAATGCTGTAAAATTCTCCCGGTAAAAATGGTGCGGTTTTTAAGCCCGGAACCTTTCGGACCGCCGCTGGAACTGCACGCGCCAACGTTAATGCGCGAAATTTTCGAACCGCGCGAAAGCGAGTCCTCAAGGGAACGGCGGAAAAGTGTCGAAGGTACGGGTCGCGCGAGCACCTCTAAGTATCACCGTTAAGCGCGCATATTGCGCACGTAAGGTATAAAAAAATTACATTGCGGGAAACTGCAATTGCTCCGGTACGATTCGCCCACGACGTTTTCCAACCGGAATATTCTCTGCCAGTAACGTAAGCAATGTTCAGGACGTCTTTTTCCGGTAGAGGAACTTAAGGAACCCTTCACCCTTTATTTTAGACAATGTCGATCTCTTCTCCTCCGTCCTCTTTCCTTCCTCCTTTTCTCTCTGCCTTTATTTCTGCTCGCCTGTCCTGCTCTATTTTGCTTGCCACTTTTTCGCGTCCTTCCCCTGATGCTTTTTTTTTCTCTTTGTTTTTCTTCTCCGTTTTCCTTTGTCTTTCTTTTGCTATTGTTTCTCTTTTTCTTTTTCTCTGCTCCTCCCATCCCTTCTTCATCTTTCTTCATCTCCTTATTGTCTTTCCTCGTATCGGACAACCCTTAGTTACGTCATTACGACTTGCTCGGTAGCTTTTCCAGCACTATACGGTATTCCGGCGTGCTGCTTTAAACCGTGTCTCGACGTCGCGTTACTGCCGTTCGTGGATCGAAGCTCGTTCGGCGAACGGCAGCAATTATCGACGTTCGCGGCGTGCACGCGCGTGTCGCGGGTAATTTAATGACTCGTGTCCGCCAAATCGGGCCGACTGCGCGGACTTTAAGCCCGTCTGAAATAAAATAATTTGTCGAGTGTGCGAGCGGCGTGCGCGACGACGGCGACGGCGACGGCGGCGGCGGCGAATGCCTTTCGAGATGCGGTGCACGTGCATCGAATGCACCGTGCAGTGGCAATCTATCAAAAGGGTCTTATCGTGATGTCATACGTGAGCGTATTTCTTGTTCGATTTATCATAGCACTGACAAATGAGTGGCACGGAAAGAAGTTACGATGAGATTGCGTATCCGCAAAATTGCGTATTTCCAGCGATCGGCCCGATACTGGCAGAGGCGGGCACGTTAAACCGTGAAATCGGACTAATCGAGAAAATGAAACAATTATCGCCTGGTCGTTGCGCGAAATTAGAGTACACGTGCCGCGGTTAACGTTTGCTGCGTCCACGCGGCCGTTTAATTTAGCACGTACAGCTCGAAGTACATAACGTATTGCGTGATCAGTTTTGTCTAACTTGTTCGGAACGAAGATGTCAGAGAACAGCTAAATGATATTCGAGAAAGAAAAAAACTGAGAAAACTTGAAGTATTTTTAAACTATTGATTGCATTTACGCACAAGTAGGTTATCCCGTTCTCGTTCCCGTTCTCGTTGCCGCGAAAAGTCACCTGTTATTAAATTAAACGTAATGAAATTAGCCTTATTAAGAGAGACAAGAGGAGTTATTATTCTCCGATTACACGTATGTTCCTCAGGATTCCTTATCGATCAAACTTCGTTGGAGAACACGCTTTCAAAGAAAAAAAGATACGTGTACTTGTATCACGGTGTGCTACTTTTCGTGCGGGTGCAATTTTGATCTACGGTGAAATCTCTAATGTCCCCTAATTCCATGCAGAAATGAATGCATCACTTTACAATCCGCCTCGACCCGAGAGGAAACAACTCGCTACATAGTGTGTGCAGTTCCTTTTGTCATTGTGAGTCACGCAATTTCGTCGTCACGCGACGAATATGATTACTAAGAGAGCGCGCTTTCAGCGATCCCACAATAAAACTGCGCAGCCGCGTGGCTGGCATGGCGGTAAAATAAACACGTGCATCACAACGAACGGAGATTCGCCGGACAGAGGTCATTTGCACGGAGGTCACTCGTACTTTTCTTTCGTCTCTTTAAATCGAACGCCGCCGACTTCTCGTTCGCGATTCGTAATGGCTGCGAAGTGCAACACGTTTATTGTGTGTACAGAGCGACTGGGTCGCCGTTATAAACGGCTCTCTGTAAATTTTCTTGGAAATACAAAGATACACCGGGCAAGAGAACTAACATCGATAAGAGAAAGGACTAAATTAAATGTAAACTCGCGATGCAGCGCGTAGACTAGTACGATAAAGCGCGGCCATATCGTCCTGTATATCAAAGGTCGCGCATGCGACGAGAACCGTATAGCGAAAATGCGGATGCATTCTTTCGGAAAATATCGTAGTAGAGTGGCCTTGAGCGTTCGCGTTTAAAAATATTTTCCGACCACTCCTTTGTGGCACGTAACTCGTAACGTTACGTTACAAGTAACTTGCAGCGCGCACTTTTCCAACAACAAAAGGTTATGCTCTCCTAGATAACGCCCCTATAGATAGACGGGAAAATAGGATAATTTTAATCTACATAAATAGTCCACGAGAAGATAAAGCTTCTTATGCCGGTGTGTTTTAATTATATCGTGCTTTCCCCGCGCGCAAGATGGTTTATATAAACAGGACTGCATTAAACTTTCGCTACACGCTTTAGCACAGTTTCGAAATTGCTAATTTAATAGTAGCAGCTAGTGGCACTTTTCAGTCGCTGCCGTCGATCCTCAAGATCGATAGGCCCCCGGGGAAATGCTTACCCTAATCCGTGCTACCCACCACCTACCTTGTAATTTCGAAGACATACCCGGCAACTTCGCATAGCCGCTACAAAGCCGTATTAACGATTACAAGCGATCGTCGCTGAATTATGCAAGGAGTTGTACACGCATAGGTAACCACCGTCGAAAGAGCGTCATGTAATGCTCGGTTCGCTCTCGCGAACAGCCATTACACCTACCTTACTCGCAGCAAGTTGACAGTAAACTATTATAAGACGGAAGTGTAGTCGTTAAATTATGCAATAGGACATGCATTCAGGCGTGTACAGAGAGGATCACTTCCTGCGAGGGAGATTTCGGATCGGGGAGACAAACTTGCATGCTACACGTGTGTGGCCGCCAAACGGAACCGGCTACCCTTTGTGCGTATCGATCAGCAAGCGTGAAATATTACTCTTAAGTTAGTTAATGCGAGAGATATATTGATATATGTGCAAACACAGTCCGGAAAGACTGTGCTCGGTAAAGTGAAACAAAGCGAACGTGCAACTTGATGATTATATCATCAAGTGCACCAGTGTGCGGCAACATGTGCGATGACAACGTGTGTGCGGTGTTCCTGCTTATTTGCGTACATATTTGTCTCGTATTCTGTCTCGTATATTAGACTAGTCCACTAATGGGAATTTCTGCAAAAGCTACATAAGCTTATAATACGAGGACCAATTCGTGTTTTTGTGATACTGATGTGATACGGCGAATGTAAATCTCTTTAATAATAAAAATTAGATATATGATTTGCTCTTAAAGTATATTTAGTTTAAAGTATATTCAGTTTAGTAGCTCTTTATGTGATATTGGCTATATATAATGCGGCAGAATCATTATTATTATTGTGATAATAATAATTATAATTTTTGCCGATAAAATAAATATTATTATTTGTACGGAAACAACAGTAACGACCTGTTTTGTGATATGCCTGCAAGATACGTAAAATTCTTCGTGTATCTCTACTCAGCTAATTATTTGTGCCAGGTAATGAACGATTAACAAGCATGTCTCAAAGCGACTGTTAATTTATCCAAAGTGTATTAATGAAATTGTAAAAGCTTATGTGAGAGATTAACGGGCAGCTCCTTTTTTCACATTCGAATATACGAATATATGTCTCTACTGCTACTGATTTAAGATATTACGATGATGACGCTAACAATAATGAGTTACAAATTATGTGTACATCGACAAAGAACATATACAGACAGGATACACACAGTACAGTGCGTGCATTTTTTCACGTGTTTTATAAAGCAAAAATGCGTTCAACCTTTAGCTGGCAGCCATTCACCATAGTATCGCTCTTGCGCTACATGCGAGAAAACTAAGCGAAGCTGGCCCAACGCCGGAAAATGAAAACCGATTGTTTAACTAAAACAACATAAATAAAAAAAAAACACAGTGTGCTGCGGTTCGTACTTACTGCTCGCGTTCCTCCAGCTCGACCACCCGATTACTGTCTGTGTTTTGTTTAGCAAGTCCAAATTAAAAAGTAGAGCAGAAACGAATCAGTTTCGTGTTAGTGAAAACTACCGGAAGAGCGCGTGCTCGCGCTACCATAACGTCGATCGTCGTTAATTATGAACCAGACTGGCGCACCTTCCCGGAAACGATTTGCGAAGCTCTTACAAATTTACGCAAAAATACCACTGTGGTAGAGGTAGTTTGATTTCAGTTAATCTCCGTTCTACACTTTCAACGTCAAATATTCATATGCGCTTTGCGAAATTTACGTCGACGCGATACCAACGTTGGCTCACGTGCAATTAATTAAAGTAATCACGGGAGAGGTGGGGATGAGAGATAAAAAATTCCCTTGCGATTAATTAATATGTATACTTATTATTCGCCACAATTATTACGGAACAGTTAACTTAAAGTGGCAGCGGCACTGAAAGAAGATTCCGCTGTGCTCTTCAAGCACGATATTGTTTAATTCAAACTCATTTTACAACGGGAAATTGTAAGTATAATTTGTTGTATGTGCATCAGTGAACAGTATTACTCTGTTTTACGAATAGACACGCAAGAGTATAGGCCGCCGTTTCTTTCATCGTATTCTTATGCGTTTGACAGATAAATGAATTAATATATCCAATGAAAATCTTACTAAAGCCACCAGGACATATATTATTGATTCTGAATTAGCGATTTATCCTTTCTATCTATGTCATTATTTAATACGAAGAAACAAAATTAAATTTGAAGAGAAATTCTAACTAATCGATATCGGCGCGGCCTGGTATTAGCATTCGCGTAGAAACGGAGAATATTAAAATGAAGATAATCCAATAGGATATTCTGAAACTTGTTAGAGTAATAATAAGTTGCTAATGAAGATGAAATTGGCCAGTTAATCATTAGTTAATCGTTTAGAGAAAATTGGAAGACAATCCGCCAGACGAGTTAGTGTCTACCTTCAAGAAAGTAATCTAGATTTCCTTCATAATTATCATGGAATGTGATCTATATGTGATATCTTTAGCGTAGTCATAAAAAGTATCTCTGAATAGATTTCATTAACTAATTATTAACACGCTACAGCATAAATGTCTAAGAAACATCTCAGAGATATTTGAAAGATATTCTACTTGTTTGAAATGTCTTTAGGATGCCTCTGAGATATGCTTTATATATTTGTGCTGTTGTTTGGAATAGTTTATGTTTCAAGTTACAGTTTTGGAAGAATATAGAAAATTACGGAAATACGAACGAGATTAGTTGTAATCGACGTTATAGCAGCGCAGCACGTGTTTCTCTTTAAAGATTGTTTATATGTATTTCCATATCTAAATGGAAATCTCACATTGTTCAACTACTTTATACAGAGATATCAAATAATGAGCATGCTTTTATTCTACCTAGCATAAACTATATAAGATGATATAATATTGTGTATACAATACGTGTAATATATCTACGTCAGTGTGTTTGCACGAACTAGGACTTAACAAATTGTTCTCTGTCAAAAAATGAGATTTTTGAGACAACATATTCTCCTTTTGTACAAACACAGACATCAGACAAATGAGTCAGTTCACGTGAATGTTTCAAGGATACACGTATTATAGAGATATAACTTTGATACATAATACTTACGATTACGCGCAATTAAGAAGTCGTTACTTGTTAGAAGAAGCCATATCTCATTTAAAAATAGAGAATTACGTTCACAAAACAACATAAATTCAGCACAAATGATTGATTAATAATTCTCAAGACGAAGGAAAGTAATGTATGTTTCCAAGCTTTTTATACGTATTAAACATTTGGGACAATACTTTTTATATTACAAAGAGACAATGTACATTATGTACTAAAAATACGAACATAAAGACGATAACACAACTGATATTTTACTAGAGGGAAATACATCATCAGAGTATACTAAAGGAATAATTATTAATTGCAATTACGAGACTCATGTACCTAGTCCTGGCAATTGTAGCAATTTTCCCTCAAATTACAAACTAATATACAGCGCAATAATGGTATTGCAAGAAAAAATGATATTCACATTTCGCGGTTACTCTGAATATATATACATTGTATGTAGAACATATATGTGATGTATACTGACTGTATATGCTATAATTGTACCAAGTAACTTATACATTCTGTGTAATCGTAATATATGTGTAACTGTTATAAACAGTTATAACAGTTATAAACTGTTATAAACAGTTATATAGATTGTTGCGTCGAATTTTCTCGAGGCTCAGTCATTTATTTACGAGCTCCGCGAGAAATGTGTTTTGCGCGCGGTTGATTAAAAAACCCGAGCCGTTCTTTATTATGGAAGACATTTAATTTCGCGAGAATACACGAGTGCAGGATAAATCATTGTCGCGATAAAGTTTAGGAATCATGGCAATCTCGCGCGCACCTAGTAAATAGCGACGTGAGTTATCAAATCGATACAAGAAGCCTCGAGGAAATCTTACTTTACAGTCTACACCATGCAAATCGTTGCGATGAGCAAACGATCGTCACGATAACGGCACGATAGGTCAGAGTATAACTTACATTTCACTTGGTTGCGTTTCCGTCGACACACGATGAATATGGCCACGCAAATTAGTATTAGCACCAGTATGATGACCACCGCTACAATGATAATAATCAGGAGCAGATTACCCCTCAACTGATGCCACCAGGGTATATAGCCTGCAATGCGATAGGTTACGATGTACGGTAATCGATAACGACACGTAAGCGATGTATACTGGAGACCATAGCGCATGTGGGGAATTTCGTTATTTATATGCGTCAATACTATAAACGTAATGGCGAATTGAAGAATAACACGGGCGAATCCACCCGTAATCTCCGCTGCAAGATTCGCGGATAAACGCGCGGTGAGTATCGACGAAACTGCATTAAACGGTTCGAGATGTTCGTTGAAATTGCGGGGTGAAAAACGGGAAAAAAAGTTAATTGAAAAGGGCGCCGCGTATCGCGTTTACAATTGCAGCGACTAGTCTGCACGGTAGCTTGAATTTACTCGCGATGTAACAGGGAAGCGCGATGTCGAAGTTCGACGTGAAAATAACGTCTTTGTTTCGATTTCATTTATTTACGCGGTGCGCTTAAATGCAACATTACGCGATGCGAGATGCATTTTAATTAAACTTACAAATAAACCGTTGAAAATTGCATATCGCGACAGGACGCGTTCTAAATATTGCTTGCATGTATGCAAGGGACACATAAAATACGTTCTATACGAGATACCTCTGAAATAACATAGACACGACTTACTTTTATGTCCATGGTGAGCTGTAAAACAACACAGAAGACTTTCAGTGTTTGCATTATCGGTGACATGTCAGAAATACGAGATATCGCGTAATTAATTACGACAACATAATCTTCAATTGAAATATACGTTATTTAATGTCATAGGTCTTTACCTTAGTAATTTATCGTGGACATTCTAAAATTTATATTGCACTCTCTATTTTACTGCGGATGTTTGTTCTATTGTATATATTCACATATACGAGAAATTCACTCTCGCGATATGTGTATATATATATATATATATATATATATATATATATATACACTGGCGGATTCTAGGGGGGGGGGATTTTGGGTTAAAACCCTCCCTTTGGAAATTAAATTTAAATTAAAAAAAATCAATTTTTTTAGATCCGTTTAAAAAATGTAAAAAATAAAGAAATTTTGCCGAAAACCCCCCCGTGACCGAGGTCAGGATCCGGTAGTGGTTGTATCTATTGTATTAAATTCTTATATAAATCCTTGCATAAATCCCGTTAATAAGAGAGATTTATATTTAATTAAATTTCTA